GTACGGAAGAATGATTAAAAAGGAAATGGGATGCTATATGACAGTTCATCATGTAACAAAATCTGACGTGTACTACATCATCAATACAACAACAACAACAACGACAACAACAACATGACATCGATACATTACATCAATAACATGGCTACATTACAACAACAACATGATCTCAAGAACATTACAACAACAACATGATCTCAATAACATTACAACAACAACATAATCTCAGTAACATTACAACAACATGACAACAACAATACCACAACAACACGTTACGACAACATGACAACAATACAACAACAATATAACAACATTACATCAATATCATGACGTCAATACAACAACTACACATAGCACCAATACGACAACAACATAAAAAAATAAAAGGGTAACATCAACAATAGCAGTGAATAAATTAGAACGCTTCGACATATTACCAACAACACATGAATACAACAATAACGTTATGACGATACAACGAAGCAGAATGAAACTTTGTAAACAAAAACCAACTTTGCAACCAAATATTGCTCACAAACTACGCATCAAAACAAATACAGCTGAAACATTAATACAGCAACAACAACAATAAACATACAACAACAACAACAACAAAAAACAAATGCAAGCACATCAACACATTGAAAATAACTTATAATAATTACAAAAATAACAACGAAACAAAGTTTTTTAATTCAACAACAAAGCTACTCATCAATACATCCACACTACAGCAACACAACATCAACAATATCATCAATAACGACAACACAACAACGCAACAACAACAACAAAAAACAACAACAACAAAATAATGCTGCTACACACAATACAATCTCCAAACATCCCTCACGCAGAAAAACTTCACATGGCTCGACATCATAACTGTTCATCATTGCAACAACAACACAACAACTTTTTCTACTACTACTACTATTACTACTTTTACTGTTGCTACTACTACTACTACTACTACGGTAGTAACGACAACAACAGCAACACCAACAACAAAAATTGCTGCTGCAGAACGGTATCAACATCAATAACATCTACAACAACAACAACAACGTCAACAATAACTACAGAAATAACAGTACTCTAAGTATAGCACTTTCAACATCATTAAACAACATCTGAAGATTACAACAAAATCCAAAAATTTGAAACCTGCCTCGTCAAAATATGACGACATCCCAACAACAACATTACAACAACAACAACGTTATAACAACAACAACAACAACAACATGACAACAACACCACAGACGCATGGCAAATCAACTTTGGTAAAAATAATATCGAAATTAAAAAATGAAACAACAAAAAGGCTACTACATCGTAAGTCATCGTTCAAACAACACTCGGACAACAACATCACTGTTAGGACGGTTATGGAAACATTTGGGGCTGGCTGGAACATCATTCCCTCTATTTGCTTGCTTCCTCCTGAATTTTAGTTCCACTACAACATCATGGCCGCTACAACACAGCAACAACAACACCGCAGTTACACCACAGTAACTACACAACAGCAACACAGCAACAACAATGCAACATATATACACATAACTTAACAACGAAAGGTCAGTGCATTTCAATGAAAATAAATAAAGTTTCAAGTCTTGGAGTCATCTTCTCATATCAATTTACAAACATACAATAAACAAACATAAAATAAACATATATGCAATAAACAAATATACAATAAACAAGCATACAATAAACAAATATACAAAAAACAAACATACAATAAACAAATATACAATAAACAAACATACAATAAACAAACATTCAATAAAAAAACAGACAATGAACAAGCATACAATAAACAAGCATACAATAAACAAACACACGATATACAAACAGAAGTATATGCAGAAGTATAAAACCGAAACAAAAACAAAAAAAACATCGATCGGCATGAGCGTTGAGTGACGTCATGTTTTTTGCTTGCGGAGTCGTCTGTGACGTTGATGACACACAAGCAAAATTTTGAAACAGAACAAAATCACTCAGTCATTCGGTCGTTGGATCATTTGGACGCTAGATGGCCAGCCAGCCAGCCAGTCAGCCAGCCAGCTCTGTTATTAGCGTCTGAATTGAAGGTCGTCATCAGACTAATGTCAAACTATTCCATTGTTTAATAATAAATAATCAATAATAAAAATAATAATTCAGACTTTTGTTATTATTATTATTGTAATTATTATTATTAATAATTTTTAGAGGAATCATCGACAAACACAGAACTTGTGTGAATGTGCTATCGTCATCACGCACGTTGAACATGGTAGGCAGGCAGGGACCTCGTGGCATTCGAGCTTAGCCAGGCAGTACAACATAGGGCCGGGCATCTTCAACCATTCAACCAATTTGCAGTCAGATTGTCATTTTATTATAAATGTTAGTCGTTGTTGTTGACCGTGGAGCGTTGCTGTCACTTAATATTATAGCGTGTGGAGTTTTTTTTAGAATATGTAGAGATGTCTTTGTCATTGCTTATAACTCATCTGGTTCTATCATTAAAAAATAATTAGGGATTTTTAAAAGTTTATCAACAATTTTTAATTTTTTTATTTTTTATTATGTTCTTACAATATTATAAATTGAAAAAAAAAATTAATCATTGTGACAGTACTTGTGCACTATAAATTTCTTCCCGCTGCACACATTCAATGCTGCTAGTACATCTCGTCTGTCTCCAGTTGAAAATTTAACCAGGTCAAAAGATGTGTCGTTGGGCAAATGTATGTGTGTGTGTGTGTGTGTGTGTGTGTGTGTGTGTGTGTGTGTGTGCATGTTTTTGTGTGTGCTTAAGTGTGTGCGAATGTGTGTGTGAGTGAGTTAGTAGGTCAGTGAGTTCGATAAAAGATATGAGTAATAGAAAAGAAAGTTGTTATATTAGTATAAAATTGGTTTATCAAATGGGTGAATTAAAGAATTGAAGTACGAAAGAACAAACGAACGAATGAATGAATGAAGAAACGAGAAAAAATAGATGAATGAACGAATGAAAAAATGGATAAGTGGATTTTCAAACAATTAATAAGTTTAAAATAACTTTTTTTGAAAACCAAATCGCTAATTATTGACTTTTGCGAATTATTTATAAAATGACAACAAATTTTGCCTAAGTTGAAAAAAGATAAAAGAAAAATTTAAAGTTGATAATGTAGGTTTGAATAATTGAAAAAGAAGTGCGTGTAAAAAACACTCTACAACAAGACAAACATTTCATGGTACAACACACCACAAAACTTCACACCCTCAACACACAGCGAATCAGCGCAACACTCCTCCCAGGAACACACCATTGTTGGGTGTGTGTGACGTGATGTATTACTCCATTAAATGCATTCATCATCTTCTTCCACGAACATCCTTATGTGTTTGTTTATTGAGCATGTGCATCTCTTTGTACGTGTGTGTGTTTGTGTACGTGTATGTGTGAATGTGTGTGTTTTTTTGGGTTTGTGTGTGTATTTGTAATTATGCTTGCGTGTAGAATTGCATGTGTATGTTTGTGTGTGGGTTTTTACTTATCGTATAAAAGTTAAATTGTTTGTAATATATATTAGAATCGCAGTATTTTGATTTTTGAATTAGTTGTACTTTAGAATTAATTTGATGTGTACAACAAACGACAATGTCTCATCCATCGAGAGATTTCTGCACTCTTTTGCCCTACTTACTTCCACTTTTCAAATCTAATCCAGTCGACAACAAACTCTGACACAGGCGGCCTGCATTGACTTGAGATGTGGAAGTGCGTGGAAGAAGTTGACGTGGATTAGCAGTCAGCAGAGCAGAAAGTTGGCACACTGGAGGGTTGTGCTGTATAAACTTTGCTTGGCAGTCCGCGTGAGTAAGAACAACATAGAAATGTCTGAAAAGTTGAAATACTGCCACTACAGATACAGATGTATGTGCTGTGCTAAGATGAGAAAACATTGTCGTTTAAATATAAACAAACATAGTTTATATTTTTTTAATTAAATTCATTCATCATTTATCTAAACTTTTAAATTATCAATAATAAAATTTTATTTTCAACGATAGCAATCAGGTTTTGTTAGAGCATAAAAAAACATTTTATTTAAATCTTTTCATCTCCTGGTAAGATTTGCACAACTTGGAAGAAATTTTTGTTAAAAAAAAACGACCAAAAGTAAACAACTTTTCACGCAGATATACAAACAAAGATTTGAAATGATATTTTGTTCTCATTGTCAAGTAGCACCACTTAACAAACGCAGTTGGAGAATTAGCTCAGACGGTAAGGACGCCATGTTCCTCGTTCGTTCTTGTTTGCCACCCGTCGAGACGTCATTCAAACGTTCTCCGCGGAAAATTTGAAAACCATCATTTGTCCCGTGCGTGTGATACAGTGGCTGCTCGTGCATACAAATGTGCGTGTGTGTGTGTGCGTCGTGTCCTGTGTATGTGCGTCGTATGGTGTAGATTTGTGTGTGTGTTTGTGTGGTTTATTTCGTGTGATGTGTATGAGTATGTGTACAGCGTGGTTTGATTGCGTCACATGATTTAAATTCGCCAAGAAATAAGTTAGGAACGATTTGCAAAACGTTCCACGCTTGTAAGAACTGGCCCATTAAGAGTAAAAAATTGTGTTAAAGATGACGTTGTAATAGTGATGACATTGTAGTAACTAATGGCAACATGACACCAACTAATGCAACCACACATCCAGAATTTGTTAAACAACTTCACCAGCCAGCCAAAAACTTTGAAATAATTTAATTAAAAATATAAATTAAATATATCAAGAAAGAACACCAACGTAAAGGATTGGTTACAAATTTTTGTTAACAACAAGTGCAACGAGCAAAACTCAATCTCACTGAAAATAAAGATAAAACAAACAATGAAAAATGGAGATAAAATTGAATTTTAAAATTAATACTGCAGATATAATTGCCGTATTATTGGCGCATAAATACAAATGTCTACATGGAGCCTTCGAAATCAAGTGCTTACATCTATTTATGTCTGCCGCTTCAAGTGCGCTCCGTCCATGCCTCCATGCTTCTGACAACAGCGTTTGATGCCAGTTGAGAATTTTATTTATAAATAAATATTGAGAATATGAGTAATTATGGAAAATAAATGTGAAAAAATGAATTAAAGGATACAGCATTTTATATAGAAAGAGACGAGAGAGAAAGAGAGAGAGAGAGAGAGAAAAAGAGAGAGAGACATAGACATACATGTATAACGTTTAAATAAATTGGCACAAAAACTGCATTGATTTGACAATAATATGAAAAAAAAATATTCTGCTACATATTCTTGCAGCACAAACACACAAGCAGAAAACAGAAAGGTGATTTACAAAACCTTGCATATGATTAAGTACAATCTTCCGAGACTTCAACCTAAAAACACAATTTTTTTTCTCAAAATGTTGAAACATGCCAGGCAAGGACATAAAACCATTTTACATGCGCACGAACCGGTTTTTATGCACGAAATATTTAATACTACGGAGCCATGAAGTGTCAAACTGCCGAGTTCTAGCGATGAAACTTTCTTTTTAAAAAATGTAACAATTTCTCTCGCATCACTTTCGTCATCTTCATTTCTCTCGTCGTATCGTCGTCATTTTTATCCTCCCCCTCATCATCATCTTCGTCATCACTATCATCAACATCGTCATCATCATCATCACGATCATCATCGGTGCAGACTTCACTTTCATCGTCATCATTATCAGGACCATTATCATGATCAATAGCACAACACTGGCGAATTTATCAACATCAAAATCAACATCAACCCCATCCTCCGTCGTCATCATCGTCGTCATCACGTCATCATCGTCATCATCATCATCATTACCATCGTCACCATCATCATCATCATCGTCATCGTCAAGGTCATCGTCATCATTGTTAATTTCTATATCATCATATTAGTCGTCATAATTGTCATCAACATTACTGTCACTATCATCATCGTCGTCATCATTTCTAGCATCATCATCACCATCATCATCGCCATCACTATCGAGATGACGATCATCACGTCACCACCGGGATCATAATCATCATCGTTATCACCATGGTAACAAATGTTTCTGCGAGTGCACGTTGGATGAGCAGACTTCAAACCTACAACCGACAATAAAGGTACATCTAATGACCGCACTCTGCTGCCCACTCATCTTCTTCCTCTTCCTCCTTCTCATCGTCATCTTCCTCTTCTTTTTCCACATCCTCATCATCGTCGTCGTGAACATCACTGTTATTAATTAGCATGACCTGACCCCACCATCATCGTCATCTTCATCATCGTTGTTATCGCCACCGTTAATTGACATCATATCATCATTACGGTCACCATATCATCATCATCATTGTGAAACACAGCATCATCACCCTGCTGATGGTCTTTGAGTTTCGGACAGACAGCATTCGAACCAGGCCATCGCGTACTACTAGCGCAAGACATGGCACTTTTACCAACTGAGCTAACTCGGTGATATTTTGGTGATATAATTTAAAAAGCGTTTATAAAATTAAATAATAATAATTATAATAATAATAATAAATAGTAATAATAGTATTTTGCATCCACATCATCATTGTATGTGTGTGGTGTGTGTGTGGAATGTGTGTGGTGTGTGTGTGTATGTGTGTGTGTAATGTATGGTGTATGTGTGTGTGTATGTGTATGTGTTTATTTATACATACATTGGCATTTATATATGCTTATTGATCAACAAAAAAAAGCACTTCATGAGTTTAAAACAGCTAGGCGAGCAATAACAGAAACTTAACATAAAATACAATAATACACCACAAACATTTAAACATACAATACATTAATACAATACAAACATTTAAACGTACAACATACAATACATTAATACATTAAAAGCATACAGAAGACATACATTACATTAATACAGGACAAATATACATAGTAGAGTAGTGCAAAGCAATGCAGAAAAACAAGCGTATGGTTGACCATCAATCAATTGGTATTGCGACCACCCACCTACATCTTCATCAATCAATATCAACTGCGCACACACACACACACACACACACAAATCACACACACAGAAACACACACACACACACACACACCACACACACACACACACACACACACATATATATATATATATATATATATATATATATACATACATATATAAACATACACTCACTAAGAGTACCAATGGAAAATTCATTTGTAAGCTGACTGCTTCATTTGAGAAAAGCTTTCATCCATTTAAATTAGTTTCCATATGATTTTCTTAATCTTATCATGGCGATGATAACGACGACGATGATGATGATGAGGATGATGAATATGATGATGATGATGAGGAGGAGGATGTTGATGATGTTGATGATGTTGATGATGATGAAAAAGAAGATGATGATGATGAGAATGTTGATAATGAAGATGAAGACGATGTTGATGATGAAAACGATGTTGATGATAATGATGATAAAGATGATGATGATGATGATTATGATGATGATGATGTTGAAGATGATGATGAAGATGATGATGAAGATGATGATGAAGATGATGATGAAGATGATGAGCGAGAGAGTTATAATGATGATGTTGATTAACATTGGCAACTGAGTCCTTTTCATAACGTGTTAAAACTCTACTGAAAATAATTATCATTCGCGACGACGACGACGATGCTGATGATAGAGATAGTGATGATGTCGACTGATAATGACGATAATAACAACGATGACGTCAGCAACAGTGATAACGATAGAGCATCTAATTAATATTGATGATGTCAGCAAGAATGAAAATCGTCAAGGTCAGATTAATAACGATGACGGGCAAACATCAGCGATCATGATGATGATGATGACGACAACGACGACGACGATAATGATGATGATGATGATGATGACGATGATGATGATGGAGAAGAAGAGAATGATGACGAAGACGATGGCGAAGATGATGATGGAGAAGAAGAAAAAGATGAAGAGGATGACGACGATGACGATCTACACACAACAACTCCACCACGACAAAAATGATAAAAGGATAATAATCGGATAATAAACGATGACGTCAACAATAACGATCGCATTGCAGATGACGATGACGACTATGAAGATGTTACATACCACCGCAGCCACTGCAGCGTCACAGCAGTATTTCATCATTATTATGTTGTTGGCAGTCGGTCGACGATTGCGCGAGTAAGCGTCAAGTGGTGATGACGAGGTCAGGGTGGTCAGTTCATGTCAGCAGTCACGTAATAACGTGTCATTAGAGCTCTTATTGTATTGGCATATTCAACGACGGAGAGAAAAATATTGACTTGAAAACGTGCAAAAATTTTTATTCGTCTGCTTCTTATTGACAATTGACATTGATGAATAGACAAATAAATGAAATCTTTTATTTGTAAAGGGAATGTCTATAGTTATATTATCGTGAAACAATAATAAAAAAATTATTATAATAATTTTGACAATAATAATATTTATTATTATTTATTTTTCATTATTTTGGACAAATTTTACATCGGTTGTCGAGCTGGCTTGGTTGACCGGCTAACTCAGTTGGTAGAAGTGCCATGTCTTGGGTTGTTATCGCGCTAAGGTCTGGTTCGGTTACTGTCTGGCAAAAACTGAAAAACTATCAAACGCCATGCGGTGCGTGTGGTGTGGTGTGTTGTGGTGTGGTGTGGTGTGTGTGGTGTGGATAGTACAGTCTTCGTGGCACGAACGAAGCTTAGATATGAAAGGTGTGGAGTGATGTGTTAAGTGATCTGCGAATGTCAGAGCTACGTTATGAAAATTAAAAGAAAGAGATTTTAGTCAAGAAAAATGGAAACGACAATTATTTAAATGCTGCTGGGATGACTGTCACTTTTTATGTGTTTCATGTGTAGTTGATATATTTTGTTAGAGTTTTCCACTCTCGCTAGTTATGAAGTAATTATTATTATTAATATTATTATTATTATTATTATTATTAATATTATTATTATTGTAATTATTACTTTTTTATGATTATGATAATATTTTTAATTTTTTTATTATTAATAATAATTTCAGACGTCATCATTGGCATTAGATATTTCTAATGCCATTAGCACCTAAGTTTTTTTTCCGTTCATACCTACTTTCTAATTCCATGAAGTGATGCACTCATTCACTCGTTAACTACACACATACACGCACCCACACACGCACACATGTATGCACGCACAAAATTAAACACGAGTGCGTGTACAAAAGTATACACGCACGCGTGCGCACATTCTCATAGGTGAGCGAACAGTTAGATTTCTCTCGCGAAGAAGTTGGTCCCTGCCAGCAACTCTGTCTCCAACGAAATTTAATAAATGCACTTAAATAATATTGAACTGTTTTTTATTTCATTTCATTGCATGATGTACTTTTTTGTACACGTGATGAGTGGCTGGATGGATGGCGTGTCTGTACGTTTGTGTTTGCGTTTGTATATGTGTGTCTGTGTTTGTATGTGTGTGTCTGTGTTGGTGTGTGCCCTTACGTGTGCACGTGTGTGCGTGTGTATGATGCAATGGTTTTAGTTGTACTATTTTCTATTAAGATTATTTAAATTTTTAAAGATGGAGACGCACGTATGTATGACGTTCGGGTGAATAAAAGGTCTGACTATCTCAACAAAGCTAGCACCACCAACACATTAACAGAACTATCAATATCTTCATTGTCCTCATCATCATCGTCATCGTCGTCGTCATCATCGTCGTTGCCATCATGTTTCGAATGACATTAACTAACTTCTTTATGTCATTAAGTAATTGTGCATAATGTCTTATTGTATTTATTATTGGCGGAAATTTACTTCTTACATTTAAAAAAAATTTACTCCAGTGAGTCGTTGTTTGGTTTCAAACATTCATATCACCTTTCCTTAACTTTGTGAAATGGATTGGAAAATGAGTAATTGGAATAAAGTTTGAATGAATAAATGAATAAATGAATAAATGAATAAATGAATAAATGAATAAATGAATAAATGAATAAATGAATAAATAGAGAAATAAAACAAATGA